AGAAGGAGAAGGAAGGGGTAGTCTGGGCCTGGTAGAGAAGGAACCTGGGGTCCAACTTCTGTGCAAATACACTTTCAACCAGTTGCCCCTTTAAGACCTGCACCTCATCTCTGGTTCTTGGTGTTTGGGGCACCAATGTGTCAAACACATTGTGGGGGCTGGTTGCCATGGAAACCAACCATGTGATTAGATGGTTGAAACTTTTAGTCCACTGTGCTGACCTCCAGGAGTAAGGAGAGCAGTTGTGTGAAACCATCAGGCCTGTGTCGCTAGGCCTTCATAAGAGCCCCAAAGGAGGGGCTTCATAGAGCTTCCAGGGTAGTGAAGATTTGGGGGAGAATGGCATGCCTAGACCGGAAGTGTAGGCTTTTTGTCCTTTCCCCATACCTTGTTCTCTGTATCTCTCCCTCCTGGCTATTCCTGAGTTATATATCCTTTATAATAAATCAGTCATGTCGTGAATAAACAGGTTTCCTGTGTTCTATAGGCTGTTCTAGCAAATTGACCTGAGGAGGGGGTTATAGGAAACTCTGGCTTATAGCTAGTCTGTGAAAAGCAGATATAATAATCTGGGCTTGCAGTGAGCTAGCAGGGAGTCACGGGACCTCCAATCTGTGGCTGTTTGGTCAGCAGCACAGGTGAGTTCCTGGGGCTTGTGACCAGTGTCCGATGTGGAAGGTGGTCTTAGCCTGTGGACCCTGACACTGTCTCTGGTTAGATAGTGTCAAAATTGAGCAGAACTGAGTTGGATTTTTGGATACCCGGCTGGTATCTGAGAATTGATTTTTGGTGAGGCAGCCTTTACCTGCACACCCCATTGGGGCTGATTGCAGGACACACAACACAGTCATACAACTCAGCTGTTTGAGTGGCTTTTAGTGAATTTACAGAGTTGGCAAATATCACTTCAATCCAGTTTTAGGATATGTCCGCCACCCCCAAAAGGTGCCCATGTCCATTTGTAGTCCGTCCACACACAATCATGAGTGTATTTCTTGTTTCTATAGCTCTGTCTTTTCTGAACACTATGTAAATGGAATCATACCAAATGCTGCCTTTGTGTCTGATGCCTCTCTGTTAGCAAAATATTTTTGAGGTTCGTCCATGATGTAGCTTCTATCACCTCATTCTTCCTTATTGCCAAATGGCATCCATTAAACGGATGTATCACAGTTTGTGTGGCCATTCACCAGTTGGACTGTTTTATCCATTACAAATATCCATGTACAAATCTTTTTGTGGACATATGATTTTATTTCTGTTGGGTATTGTTGAGTCTTATGGATGTTTCTGTTTAACATTTTAAGAAAGTATAAATTGTGCTTCAATTTGCAATTGGTTGCAATACCAAGAGACTGGTTTTGACTTCTCTACACTATCACCAGTACTTGGTAGTACCTTTCATTTTGATTGAGATGTTTCTAGTGGGTGTCACATGCTATTATTGACAGTTGTTTGAAACACACAGGTGGAAGTGTACAAGAAACAGGTGGATGTGAGCTCCAGGTGGAGATCTGGGCTATAGATATACCTATGGGAAGCCTCAGCTCTAGATTCACTTAGTCAATCAATAAAAATTTCTTGGACACCTACTATATGTCAAGCACTGGTCTAGCCCCTAGGGATGCAGCTGTCAAAAATACAGACATGAAAGGTATCCTTGTGAAGTTGAACATCAGTGGAGGAGACAAACCATAAACAAATAAAAGTATAAGATAATGTTACATGGTAGTAAATGTTTAAAAAAAAAAAAAAACAACACAGCAAATTGGAGTAGAGGAAGGGACAGAGTGCATTACAGATGAGGTGGCCCGGGAAGATTTCTCAGATACAATGACTTAGACCACGTCCATCGAAACAAACCACTCTAAGTGTTTCAAAGAGAGCAACCTAATACATGGGAACTGGTTAGCTATGAAATGGAAGAATTGCAAAGTGAACCAGGGGGCCCAGCAATAAGCCACAGCAGAAAGTTGCTGGAGGGATACAGCAGAAGGGTTGTGTGATGAAGAAGGGGATTATCATCATGAAGAAGGAAACTGGGGCCAAGGAGGGTATAAAGTAGCCTCACAAAACATCCTGTCCCAAGCAGAGAGGAGAAATACCCCGGCTTCTTCCCTTCCTCCTTACTAGCCAATCTCCCTCCACTGTCTCCCATTGGACAAAACTAATAGCAAGTCAGTGAGCAAGGGGATCTGGGAAATGTAGTTTTCTGGAGAGGGATAGGACAGACCTCTGAGCCTTACCATGATTGAACAGAGCTATAAATGCGGTAAAACAACAAATTTTATATGTATCTGTGGTAATAGTGTTCTGGGTAGAGGGAACAGAAAGTACAAAGCCGTGAGATAAGAATGTACTAGACAGAACCAAAACTCTGGGAGCGGGTGTGAGGGTCCAGGCATAGTGTTCAGAGTACGCATTAGGGATCAGGACAAAGCCCTGTGAGACACAGACATTTAAGGAGGAAGCAGGGGACACTGACAGTGCATCTAGAGATGTGGGGATGGGACAGAACTAGGAAATAATTAGGTGGCTTTGAAATCGAGAAATGAATGACTTTCAAGAAGAAGGGAATGATGCATGAAGACTAACTGGTAAGAGTGATTAAATGAGGGCCTGTGTGAGGCTGTGGTACTGGCACACTGGAAGGTCACCAGTGCCTTTGGTGAGAGGAGTTTGGGAAGCATGGAGGAGATGGAAGGTGAGGAAGCAGAGATGGCAAGTGCAGACGAGTGTAGATCACTCCTTGTGTTTCCTGCAGCACCAACGGTGAGAGAGTAAGAGAGTAGAATTGAGTTCCATATCCTCTTAAGCCTTAGAGCCCAGTGATTTTGGAGTCTGAAATCAGATAAACCTAGATTCAAATTCAGGGTCCTCCTTTGCCTGCTGGGTCACCTTGAATCGTTCCCTCTCCTCTCTGAGCCCAGGGTTCTCACCTACAAATAGGGAAGTACTTTTCAAGGGAGGTTACAGAAAGCACACTTGCCAACAAGCATTCAGCACTTATAAATGCATACTTAGGACATATCGGTAAGGACACATTTCACTTTTTAAAGCTCATTATCAGTTGCAAATGATAACATGGCAGTTACTATTCATGAAACACTTATCATGTCCCTGCAAAGTGTTTTACAAGCACCATCTCTCTTCTAGTCTCCCCCAGCACACTTGGCTCCAAACACCTTGTTCTCCCTCCTGTTCTTTGAACACTTCCACCCCTGACCCAGGGCCTTTGCACATGCTATGCTGGTTGCCAGGGAACTCTTCCCTTAGATGTTCAAATGACTTCTTCCCTCATCTTCTTCAGGTCTCTACTCAACTGTCTTTTCCTTAACCATTCTATAAAGCTTACTTTCCATCTTAGTCGCATCCCCCTTCTTCCTGTTACCCTGTTATCCGTTGTATTTTACTCCCCCCCCTTCTTGTATCTTGTCTGTCTTGCCCCATAGACGGTTCAGCTCCTCAAAAGCAAGCATTTTTGACTGCTGTTCACAGTGTCTGGACATAGCAGATGCTCAATAAATCTTTCACTTGATTCTCAGGACACCTGAGCCTTTCCATATTAGGTTTATCATTCACAGCCACCCACCCACTTTGCAGGTGAAGAAACTGAGGCACAGAGAAGTGATTGCTGGAGGTCACTCAGGGTCAGAACCTGCCTCTCGGTGTTAAGCTCAGAAAAAAGAAGGGCTAAAGACCCCCCAGCCGGGTGTCCAGCGCTTCTCTCCAGGCGGGCCCTCGCGCCTCGGTGAGCTGCCACAATCAGGCAAAGAAAGGCCTGAGTCATCGCCGCCTCCAGACGGCGGCCGCGGACTGAGGGCGACGGCGGCGGCGCGAGGTGATGCGGGGACGCCAGGAGGGGGCGTGAGTGCAGGAGAAACAGAGGAAATTAAAACCCGCCGGGCGCGCCTCCCCGCGGCCCAGCCGCCCTCGCGGCGGGCTGGTGCGTGGGTGGAAGGTGGGGGCCTTGAACACTGCGAACCCCGAAACTGGCAGGCCCGAGGCCCTAGGGTGTGGAGGACGGTCCTAAGTGTCCGTTCCGTGTCCACCCCAAGTTCAAGTTGAGTGGGGACCCTCCTGGGACTTGTTTGCAAAATGCTCTGTTTCAGCAGTCCCCGGTTATAAAGCCGCCCCTGGCGTCATGGGAAACCCCCAGCTGCCGGAGTGACCCCCCGTTCCCGCACCTTTATCCGAGTCATGTCTCCTGGCTCGGGACCCGCCACTTTGGGCTTCCCAGGTCCCGAAAAGCCCAAAGGGTCCCCAGAGTGGTTCTGGCGCACGGAAACCCTTTCCCCAAGGAGGGGAGACCCTTCCTCGGCGCCCGGCTCTGGGGAACGGACCAGTCTGCCCCGCAGCCCCGGCCCCGCGGCCCGGACGCCTGCTCTCCCCGGCTGAGACCCCGGGTCCCGGTCCTGGCAGTAGGTGGGTGGGGACCTGCAACTCCGGCCGCCTGCCAACTTGGGGGGTGGGAGCAGGCCGGCTGCCCGTTGAAACGCGGCGCGGATCGCCAGGGGGTTCAAGGGGGGGGTGGCCCGGGAACCCCGCTGGGGGAGGGGGCGGGAACCCCGCGGGGGGCGGGGCGGGGGAGGCCGCGGAGGCGGGGGGCGGCAGGTGGGGAATGCCGCCCGAGGGGGTCCCTCGTTCTGAGGGGGGACCGGGACAGGGGGACAGGCGGGGCTCCGCTGGGGAGGTGGGGGTTGTCTGGGCGCCCCCCACCCCCCGCCGGGCTCCGGGCCGGAGCCGTGACGTCACGGCGGCTGGAAGTGCCCGGCGCGGAGGCGCGGGAGGGGGTGAGGGGGGCCGAGCCGGCGCCTTATAAGCAGAGCCCGCGAGGCGCGCCTCGCCGCAGCCCGCGTCCCCGAGCCCCCGGCCGGCCCCGGCCCCGGCCCCCAGCTCGCGCTCGCGCCCCGGGAGCGGCCGGGCGGCGAGGGACGGAGCGCCAGGTGGCGGGCCCCGAGACGCGCGCGCACTGCCGCGGGGCATGAGGCGGGGGCGCGATGTCGGTGCCGCTGCTCAAGATCGGGGCCGTGCTCAGCACCATGGCCATGGTCACCAACTGGATGTCGCAGACGCTGCCCTCGCTCGTGGGGCTTAACGGCACCGTGTCCCGCGCGGGCGCCTCCGAGAAAATCGTGAGTGGCCGCGGCGCTGGGGGCGCTCCCGGGGGGCGTGGTGCCCGGGCGGCCGCCGTCGCCGCAGCCCCCGGGGGCCCCCGCCCCCCGGGCTCCCGGCGCGCCGGGTCTGGGGCGCCCTCCCCAGACGGGACGCGGCGGCGGAGGAGCCCCTGGCCCCCAGCCGTCCCCAGGCTGTTTGTTCTTGTTATTGCTACTAGTGCACAGTGTGGAGCGGCGACCCGGCTCGCTCTGGCCGGGCGGAGGCGGCCGGGCTGCGGAATGGAGCCGCGTCCCGACTGAGCGGGGCGGAGCGCGAGGGTAGTTTCGGGGGACTGGGAGGAACCCTGTCTCTGAATAGGGGAGTCTCGGGGTCTCCGAGCGTCTCCACCGTCATGATACTGGCCTATTTGTGTCTCAGTGTCTCCGAGCAGTCCCTTCACAGCTCTGTCTTTCCCCTTCGTCACCGCCCCCCCAGGTCCCCCCTCTGGTTTGCTCCTCTATTTCCGTATCTCCCGGGTTCTCTCTCTGCTACTCTTTGACTTTGTATCTCTTTTTGTCTCTTTTTCTCTCCACTGCACAACCACTCCCCCCCCCACCCCGCCACCCCCCGCAGGATTTTGCTCCTCACCATGCGCTGAATATTTATTCCCGTAACTCGCCCTTTCTAGGAGACAGATGGGTCTGACTGGGGCAGGGCTTGCTCTGCCCCTAGACGCTCAGGATGTCTCTCCTTCCCTTCCTCACCTTCCTCCTCCGGCTGCCTCCACGCAGAGCCTTGGGAGTGGGGCGGGACGCATTGGGGTTAATAATGGTGGTCCTGGGAGTGGAGAGGGAATGGTCTCTGCTGCAAACTTCCCTCAGCATCTTCCAGACCTGCCTCTCCTTCCACTCCTTGCCCCTAGTAGCCGGTTCCCTCTTCTGCCTATTTTTGGGACTCCTCCCAATATATGGAGCTGGATTGCTCTGGTCTTCCTCTCCCTGCTCTTGTTTCCCCAACTTCAGCTCCCCGTTCAGCCTCCAGTGGCCATCACACTACTTCTTTCTCTCCCCTCCCTGAGAGGAAAGACATCTTTGCTCCCAAGGGTTGAAAGCCAGCAGAGAGGGGGGCACCGTGCATTGTGTCCAGGCTATAGGGTCCCTGGGGGGAGATGGCAGTAGGCTTGACATGGATAAAAGCTTTTAGTCCAGATTTTCAGACTTGAAGCCAGCGTGTGAAATGGTGTCTTTCTCTCTGTCACATTGAGTGGTATTATTTGAGTATTCCCTGTTGTGTCTATGCTTCTGAGAGACTGTGTGTGTGGGGGGGGGGGAGGCAGAAAGTTCATCCGCTTTGCTAGCTGAGTGTCTTCATGTGTGTGAGAGTGTGTCCTAGAATGAGTGTGGGTGTGTCCCTGAGTGAGTGTTTTCCTGACTATCGTGTGTGTTACATGATTGCATAGCTGCATGAGTTGTGTACATGACTCTGAGCCAGCCTTCTTGCTTTGCCTTCTGAGGAGGGACGGAGATGGTATCTCATTGAAATCAGACGCCATATTCCCCTCTCCAACCAGCTAAGGAGTGTGAGTCTATGTAAATGTATGCACATGTGATGTGCAGCATATGGCGTGTAAATATGAGCATATAATGTGTGTGGGGAATAAGTGTGTAAGAACATTTCTGAGTTAAGATTTTGTGTGTGTGCATGTGTATGCAATTAAGTACATAAGCACGCAAGCATTTTGTAGGCATATAAGTAGGATGTGTATGTCTTTGTAAATGTGTGTGTTTAGGTGCAAATATGTATGTGCAAATCTGTGACTGCCTAAGTGTGCATGTGGATGGATTCCTTGTGTGCCATGTATTTATGTGTTTTCGGTGAGGTGTGTGTGTATGTACCCTAACAGACCTGGTGTTCACACTAGTTCATCCTTAGCTGATGGCACCTCAAGCCAACACTTTCATGAACTCTTCTGAAAGCAAATAACTCTCCCATCCTTGACCCCTTTCCCAACTCTCAGTCTCACAAAGCCTTGCCGGAAGGGCTCTGCAGAGTAAAGTGCTAAAGGGCACAGGGTAAGGTCTGGGAGGGGCTGTAACTTGAGGGTGCTCTAGAAAACTTCTTGGGAGTCTGATGAACCATGGCTAGAGTCCAGGCTACCCGCTTCTTGCACTATGACTGCTCTTGACTTGGGCCAGTGACTTCACCACGCTGAGCTGCAACTTGCTCATCTATAAAATGGGAATTCATACTTCACAGAACTGTTGTGGGTAACAGATCTACCATCCAGCTTCCCATCCTTCTGTTCTTCCATCTGTACCTCTTATTTATCCATCATTCCACCCATCTTTCCATCCATCCATCCATCCATCCATCCATCCATCCATCCATTATCCATTATCTGTTTCTCCATCTATCCTTCCTTGCATCCATACTTCCATCTACCCACACATCTACCCATCCCTCCTTCCAGCTATTATCCATTATCCAGCCATCTCTTCTTCATTTGTCTTCTGTGTATCCTTCCTTCCGTCCATCCGTCCATCCATCCATCCATCCGTCCGTCCATCCATCTCTCTTCTCATTCATTCTCCATCCATTTTGTTTATTCAGCAAAACTATTCAGTGTCTCCTCCATGTCATGCATATATGTGCTTGAAAGTCCTCAACTCACTGCCTGCTCAGTTATTGATAGGACTCTGAGTTAAATGTATTTGGGGGGGGGCGGTAAGCGCAGGGTTAAAAAACATGTTTGGGTTTGACTTCTGTTCCTGCAATTTACTAATGGAGTGACCTGGGGTGCAATTATTATATCTCTAAGCTCCAATATCTTCATTACTCAAGGAGAGTTCAGAGTTCCAGGTAGACCTTAAGACCCATGAGAATACCTGTGTTTTGCTCACTTCTGAACCCTAAGATCACTATAAATATTTGTCAAGTGGTTGAATCAACAATCATATCTACATCAGGATTTACAAATTCTACCTTCAAATGGAAACAGAAGGCTGGGTGCATAATAGGTGTTCACTAAGGAGGATTTGTTTGATTCCCTATTGTAGCCAAACACATCATAGGCATGGAATAAATACCTGTCAAATGTCTAAATCAACAATTTATCTTCCTCTGAATTAGGGAAAACAAATGAAAGCACATAGTAGATGGTCAGTAAAAAGGAATGTCAGAAGGTTAGAGCATAAACATAGGTAGGCTGAGGGGTTCAGGAACCCAAGCAGTGAAAATTCCCAGTCATGAGGCAGAAGATTGGATACCTTATGGATGGTGTGTGGCTTAATAAAGGACCTGAGTGGTGAGGTGGGGATGCGTGCAAACCCTCTGGCCATTTTTGTCTATGGCTTCTACTCCCCAATTCAACCTGGAGCAGCAGCTTAACATTCTAGGAGATTTAAAAGATGTTGTTTTGGACCATCTCTGGAAAGGTGTGAGGAGGAAGCTGCCACCACTACTGTCTTCGGCCAACTCCCAGCCATAAACATCCCTGTGGGATGGCAGTTTTTGGTGGAATGGCTTTTCACCTGGGGCTCATAAATCCAGAACAGACTAAGAGCTGTCAGCAGTCGCCAGCAGCTGCCGTCTTTATGGGGCCTGAAGTGAGTTACCTGTGTCTTATATGCTCCGCCCTTCTCCATTCCCTCCCCCTTGAGGGTTGGAGGGAAGGAAGGGTTTATGGAGGAGGGGAGGACTCATTTATTCATGGGAAGTATGAGCACTGTCTGAGCAGCTCTCAGCAAAAAGCCCTTTGTGGCATTTCCCATGTAAAACCTATGCTCAGAATCCATGTCTTTTTGTTGAAGAATTTCTTGCGGGGAGCAAAGGCCCCAGATACTCAGATACAGTTGAGAGAGGCCAAATGGCGCTGTGGTGACCAGCAGCCTCACACCTCTGTGGCTCGGCACAGTCCACATGTCATGGCATATCTCTGCTGGCTGGAAAGCACTTCTTGTGCTCTTCACCCGGGAGCTGGGGTGGTGGAGGATCTTCGGTGGTCTGGTCCTCAAGAGAGGTGAAGGAGGGAAAAGTCCCACTGACTGGTAAAGGTTTGCTCTGAAAGGGATTGCTACATTTGCTTACATTTCATTGGTCAACACAAATCACATGGCTTATCTAACCCCAAAGTGGGTGAGAAGTGTGGGCCTACCGTGACCTGGATCAAAAAATGTGGTTAAATATTATGAACCACCCTAAGTACTACCCCACTCCACTGGTCCCACCTCCTCTCATCCTAAGTATCAAGTATTCTATTAGAGGGTGTCTTCATTTATTCATTTAACCTTTTATGAAACAAGTACCCATTGAGTGCCTACTATATGCCAGGATCTATTCTGGCATATAGTGAAGGATATGGCAGTGAACAAAACAGACAGATGTCCTTGTTCTCATGGAACTGACATTCTAGGGCAGAGGTGGGGATAAATAAGCATAAAGGTAAACCTGTGCTGTTCCAGGTGGGAATGCAAGTGCTATAAAGAGTATGGAAGCCTAGTGCATGGGAAGTGATGGGCTGTTAGACTGAGTGGTCTTTCTGAGGACGTGTCCACAGATTTTGAGCGGATATCTGAAGGTTCACATCTAGGGAGGGTTCACATCTATGGGAAGAGAGTCACAGAATGAACAGCAAGTGCAGAGGCCCTGAGGTGGAGACATATCTGATGTGGAGACATATCTGATGTGTTAGAGAAACAGTCAGGTGGCCACCGTGGCTAGGGCAGAGTGAGCGAGGGAGAGAGCAAGAGGAGATGAGGTCAGGGGGTGGCAGAGCCACATCACTTTTTGGGGGAGCCCTATAGGGATTTTATACTTAACTTGCAGCTCCTCATCTAACCTGTCCTACTTTCATATTTTCTCTTTCTCTGTTGCGCTTTTAACCTTCTAATATACTCTGTGTAGTTGACTTATTTTGTTGTCTGATTTCCCACTATAACTATTAGCTGCACAAAGGAAGCTCCATCTTTTAAAAACATTAACAAAAGTTAATGTTGACTATTGTAGCCCCAGTGCTTAGCACAGGACTTACTATACAGTA